AGATGATTGATAGACGATGATAGATAGATAGATAGATAGATAGATAGATAGATAGATAGATAGATAGATAGATAGATAGATAGATAGACAGACAAATTCTTCGAACTAGAATTCCTTAAGAAGCTCTTGGTTTTCAAAAGTCTCTTTTCTCTGCTATCACTAAATGGTCTGTGTCTCCACTTTCTATCAGCCACAATTGCAGGCTGCAGAGACAGCTCAGTGGCTAAGAAATCTTGCTGCTCTGGGAGAGGACAGGATTTCAGTTCCCAGCACCCACTTTGGATGGCTCACAACAGTTTGTGACTCCTTTCTCTGGGGTTCTTATACCTCTGCTCTCCTCAGGCACCTGAAGTCCCATGTATAAACCCACCCAGAGATGCGCACATACACAAAACTAAAAACTATGAGTATAAATCTTCAAGCAAAGTTTTCGTCTCCAGGCTTAATTTCCTGTTAGTAAAAGCCGTGTCACTGAGTATTTGGAAAAATACAGTCTATGAATTAGGGAATGTCAACCCTCTGAAGCTATATCATATATTTGAATTTTTAAAAATGTTTTTGGTTTAAAGAGATCTAATTCTTAATTCTTGGGTGCTGGCAGGCCTTGGTGTAGGCCTCACAGTGTATTGGGGGAAAAGGTCCTCTTCTTTCTTTACGTAAGGCCTGCGCAGCTGACACTAAGGTAAATTCTGAACACAGCTCTGACCTTGGAGGTTCAGTGCCTACTCTCTTTCACGCTGTGGTCATATCAGGAAACTACCATCTGCATTTCTATTAAAGGTCCCCACACACCTTCCGACAGTGACAAGAACTAGTAATAGAAGCTGGGTTTCCATAGATACTGCTGAATTTCTACAAGAATATTCCAGAAATATAGATACACTTCCATGAGCAGAAGTGCTTTAGGTTTTATGATAGTCATCGTAAAACTCAGTGAGAAATAATTGCGAGAATTGTGATTTTTTTCAATAGTATCCACTGATTCAATAGCATAAAATATAAGTCAGCTCTGGTGGCATGTTTGTGTCATCCAGGTCTTTGAGGCTAAGGCAGGAGAAGCATACGTTTAAAAACAGCCTGATGTATAGAGCACAAAGGTCAGAAAGCAAGGAGTTAGTGAAAAAGAAAAAAGGAGAATTCAAAAGAATTTATAATATAAAAAGCAGAATCATGGAAATGTAGGTAAATATGAAGCATATATCCCACTTTGCTATTAACAGATATTTTTCTCTTAAGGAAGTGATTCAGGAATTGGTTGTCTAGGAGTGTTTGTACATAAAAGAAAAGCACCAGATGGGCGGTGGTGGCACACGCCTTTAATCCCAGCACTCAGGAGGCACAGGCAGGTGGATCTTTGTGAGTTTGAGGCCAGCCTGGTCTACAGAGCAAGATCCAGGAAAGGCACAAAGCTACACAGAGAAACCCTATCTTGAAAAACAAAAAAAAGAAAAAGCACCAACCAAGAGTGACTGGATCATTGGTGTGTATTTTGCTTAAGATGGGCTAGTGATTTATTGTTCTAAAATTTATAATTCCTTTTATTCTTTGAGAATTTTATACAGTAAAATATGATTGTATCCAACATTTTCCCCTTAAAACAGATACACACACACACACACACACACACACACTCCACACACACACACTCTGTGAAATAGTGTCTGCTAAACATGACATGCTCATTACTAATGAACTCACAGCAGCTCTGTTACCTGCAGAAGATGTGACCAAGATCAAGGCAACCAACATTTGGACATAGATAGGCGATGTTATCTCCAGACCTCACCTCTTAGAGAGAAGCTAATGACAGTTGATGGCTGCTGGAGAGAAAGTCATTCTTTGAGGGTGTGGCCACTGGCAGGTTTCCAGGGCCTGGGTGCATAGCTTCACATTCATGCACTGCATGTGGACACCTTTAGTTGGATCAGTGCAGTTTTCAATTACTCCCAGACAAGTGACCTGCGAGGACGTATGCCTGTGTTTGCTTTTCAGTGGGATTGTAACAAGATTTTGTTGCACGTAACTGGACCATGGGTTCACCAAAATGCCCCCTGAAAGAAAGTGGAGAAGCCAGAGGAACTTCCTCACTGCACAGTCACAGATCAGTTCAGACATATCTGGGAAGTAACAGCATAAATAAACCCAATGCCTGTAACTGATAATAGGCTCCGGTTTCTGTATGTCAGATTCAGTGGTTCTGCCAGCCCGTTGACTACAATGAACTCTGTCTACTCTGAAGTTTTGTTTTTGGTCTTGTTTTTAAATCTCATCTCTTTGGTACTGGGGTTTCCTCCTCTGGCCTTTCAGCCTAAGACTGGGGTTTGATTTTCAAATCTAGCAATAAGCTAATAGCCCAGTCCAAACCTATCTCAAGTCAGAAACCAGCATCGGGTTTCTTTGAAGTCACGATGCGCTGTGCACTTCTTCTGGCATGGCAGATGAAGTTGCTGATATAAGGTATCCAGTCAAAGACATGTGTTTACAATTACAGCCTTCGAAATAAAGAGAGGCCTCATAACCATATCCAGGGGGACATGGAAATTACAGCATTAGCAAAGTGTGGCCAGGAGCCAATGGTTTGTCCTGCTGTACCTAATGAGCAGTGCGTTTCC